AAGGGCTGTAATATATACAAAAGGTTCTAAATACCATGTAGACTTGTTAGCTGGGGACACAAAGTCATGTTCTATCTATGTGCAAACATTCCTGGCTTATGCTTTGCTTACCAGCTTTAGATTTTAGGGAAGTAAAGGGCTAACCTAAGGTTGAGAAGTACCAACCTATGGTAGATTCTATCTGGCTTCTTGGATTTGCACACTGCTCATGTTTATATTTGACAGTCTGCCCAATGTCCATAGGTCAATGGTGATGGTTTGCAGACTACAGAGATGGCAAAGAAAAGTAAGCGTAAGTACTTAAAAGGTATTGCTGTGGGTCTGCAGTTACTGGCAGTCGTCATGTGTTGACGAAGCGCTATTTGTAGCCTTTCGTCGGAGCTACTTAGGGACTTGTGGCACCCGGCAGAGATTTTAATCCTTGTTTATGTTATAGTGCTATGTTAAACACTAATACTGTGGTCCATTTTGGCTCTGTACTTAAACTGGGAAAACTTGAACTATGAAATTATTGCACAGACTTACAGGTGTTTGAGTCTACTTACATATATACAAACAAAAATTTTAACCTGATGATGGAGTTAGATGAAAAGTGAAGCATTACCAGAGGTATCATAAGGAGGATGGGAACATGAATCTTTCTACCAGATTTCATGGCAGTCAAGAAAGTTTCACTCAAATATGGTCAGGATCACCAAAGTTTTAAGGATTCATCCTCTGTGGAGATCTGCTGGAAAACGGTCACATTGAAATATTATTAGACGCTATTGCATGGTTGTCACCCCTACCCATATAAACATGCATTGGACTCAGCAGGCTTTTGTGTCTGTGTTGATAAGCAAATGCCAATGCAATTCTCATGTAAAATAATACAGTACGAATCGTTTCACTGAGTTTATTTTGGAGTCACATTTCAGGTTTTGATGTGCTCGTGTTTCCAATTATAGACAAGCTGGGCAAACATGGAGCCTGTATGCCTTTTATGACAGCTGTGTCAATGGACACCGTCGGAAGATTGATCTGCTGATTTGCCGCCATTAGTCTTTATGACAGTCTTTTACTGCTTCTCAGGTGATAGAGCAATCAATGCACTTGGTTTACGTGGTTTAGTGTATTGTTTTTGGGTTGGATAGAGTGGGAGTGTGTGGTTGGGGCCTACAGACAAGAAAACATCATTGTGTGTAAATGGGGCTGATTCCTTGTACTGGAAACCCATAACACACAGACATTTCCTGCCTTGGAAGCAGTCTCCATGGCGATACAGCTGGAAGACGGAGATAGGGGAATAGCTGGAAGATGGTGCATATCTTATGTTCTTTCCTCCACCTACACTCTTTATCTACACATATCTCCCTTAGGACTGGACAGCTGTAAGCTGTAATTGCCCCCCTGCTCTTTCCTCCTCTGTCTCTTTGCAACCTGTACTCATCTTGTCAGACAAGGTTGAAGGCTCTAAGGTTCCTTCCTGAAACCACAAGGCCATTATTCCTCCCCCGCCATGCTCATTAGTGACAACATGCCCTCTACATTACAGAAACTGTTAATAGACTTGTCTCACTACCTGCATTTATCTAACCTGGCTACAGTAGCTAGATCATCATTTGTTCTTAAACGATCGTTCGGTCAAGACCCCAAACCTATTATGGTCCATTATGTCTGCTCAAACCTTTTATAGCTTCAGTTTTGTCATAAGTGAGAAAACATGGCCGTTTGATTTGAAGTAGTGTCATTTTTAAAAGGACATGCTTGTCAATTATTAATGGACGCTTTTGTGTTTTGTGCACAATATAAACCAAGCTGTCTGTTCATGTCCTTATTTATTTATGTGCAGAAAATAGTCTATACCCAAGTGATACAGCCTGTCACACAAACTGTAAACAATTTCTGCAAATTGTATTTATAATAAGAGGGAATAGAATTTATTAAACCCTCCTGAGTGCTTGTTTCACACATATATTGATCAATTAGGATTCTTGTCTCAGTAGAGCTTTAAACCCTTACCTTAGCTTAAACTCTATGTGTCATGTCTGCATATGCATCACAGCAACTGCACAGAATGTCTGTGTAGGAAAAGAAAGAGGGCTTTATTTATTTAATAATCTGCATTACAGCAGGTACCAGTGCTGCACTAGGATATAAGCTCATATGTATTTGTGGCTGATTCTGTTGCATTGTGAGGGTATATAATGTCTCATAGTAAATAGATGGTGTTGGAATTAGGGAGAAAAATGTTTTTTATTGGAAAGCTTCACAAAACACGATTTATTATAATGGTCTTTTGAAATTGCCAAGATTTGCCATTGCAAAGAAGAGCTGTACAATAACAGGATGCAAACTATAACTAGAAGTTAATACTTTTTGGGTACTGACTGAAATGTGTTCTTTGCATCAAGTATCAAAAGTTAGTATTGAATTCTTGGTCAGATTATCTTGTCTTATTCTTTGGTGAGATATTTTCTGGTTCCTACTGATTTTTTTTTTTTTTAAATCTAAATAATTTCCTGAAACAGCTGGGGATGCTACTTTTTAGCAAATAATTCTGTACTGAGCATAGACTCAAATAGGGGGCGGTTGTGGCTCAGAGGCAGAGCGGGTCGTCCCCTATTTGGAAGGTTGTTGGTTCGATCCTCCTCCTGCCCACGTGTCGAAGTATCCTTGGAGCATTTTCTTTCTTAAAGTAAACAAATGCAGATGTTTTTTTACACAGATCTATCTGGGATTTCGTCATTGAAACTGTTTGGAAAAAAGGGCAGGCACTTTCAAAAAACACCCGGCAGGTGATTGGATGGACCATCTGTCTATCACAGTCTATCCCAAGCAAACTTCAACCAGTTAGATCAATGAACCACATAACTCATACCAAAGCCAGTCGGGAAAAGAGAGAAAACATCCTTTCCATTGAGAAATCCCTTCAGTGCCATTCTTGCGTGATTATGCGAGTCCAGTTGCCTCACAAGGTTAAACAAACAGTGTGGCTGTTTTTAATAGTTTTTCTAACAGTGGAGTTCACAGCTATTATAAGCTATGATAAGGGTTTAACTACTAACAAGTACTAACTTAATTGTTGCTTTTTTCAATGAAAATCGCCAAAATATGCCCAGCCTCTCAAGGTTTTAGTATTCAATGGAAAGTACCTTTAACATATGATGTTGAAGGTAAAAAATGTTTCATTTTTGTATCAGTAGTGAAACCTGGGATCTGTAGTCTGAATGCAAGCATGTATGAATGTGTCGTGACCTGTAGTTTTATTTACTGCAAGTGATGCTGATTTCAACAATATCACTGCAAATCCACTGCTTTGTGTCCCACCTGATTACATAGTACAGAGAAAAGATTGACACTGTTTGTTCAGATGTTTTCTGGTCATTTCTGTGTGTATGTATGTTGGCTTGGGATGCTGTATGCATGCCCACCTGAAAACATTATTACTGACATCATGTCACTGTTCCCCACAGGGTGCAGGTGGAGTTCTATGTGAACGAGAACACCTTCAAGGAGAGGCTGAAGCTTTTCTTCATCAAAAACCAAAGGTCAAGTAAGTACAGCCAACAGGGAGCATCGTGCCATTCTCCTCTCTTCCCATAATGCAGATTGTAACAGGGTTGCTGCCGATAGATATGTTCAGAGCTAAATGAGCATATTAAAGCGTGAAGTAGGAAATTGCAGTCAGTGATGACGCATATCCAATTTCTATCTCAGTTGGGGTCTCATTATTACATTAGCTGCCTCATTGTAAAACATATTTGTGAGCAAGGACGGACAACTGTGGCTCATTTGCTGAGAAATGAGGTCGGGCTGCAGTATTTTTCTCAGAAGGAGATAAGATTGCCAATGCCACAACATCCCTGAAAGAGACATTGGTGCTGCTTAATGGTTTGGTGCATTGTGTATAGAAGCCATTCATTTGTAGCTAGAAAATGTATACTATGGGAACTCTGTATCTCTGGTTGAACACCTTATTGACACATCCTCGGCACTGACACAGCTCTGCTGTCTTTCCCTCAACTTGTCATTGTCACTAAGCCACCACAGTCTTTGACATAAAACAACAGAGTCTAATGGAAATGTCACACTTGGCTGCAGGGGTCTCTTGCTCTATCCAATTGCAGCACTGTTTGTTTTCAAATCATTTTAACATTGATGCTGACTTGCTGAAGAGGTTGTGTCACAAGAGATTAGGTAGTTACAAACTAACGCTGATTGGAAATGTGAAATACAACTGGCACCACCCTCTGGCTAGCAAGCATGCCTGCAGCCAAGTTCCTGTTCTGCACATTTGATGGTGCAGGTCGTTAATGTGCTTATCGGCATATGCCTGCACTTATTCAAACAGCAAACTGTGATTCCACAAATATTGTTATGCCCTATGGCTATTCCTGTGCAGTCCCACCAGTCGTTTATCTTGCAGTGTAGTCCTCCGCCATATTAGGAGCCTGTAAAAGTGCTGGTGTTATTTTGTGTTATTCTTGGAGGATTTGAAAGTAATGCGTCAGAGGAAATAAGTTGTGACAGGGAGCCAGAGCAGCATGGAACTGCATCAGTCACGCTTCAGGGCTTCGACAGATAAAGTCACTTTAGGCCTTTTGTGAAAGGCATTTTATAATGCACCTGAACCACTGGTGCCCAAGCAGTTTCAACTTCCTAATGAGGAGCTTGGTACACAGACGTGGTCACAACACTGGAACATAAGAACTGGTAGACAAATGTGTGATAATAATCAGAAAGGGGGCTGAGCTTTTAAAGTAAAGCGTTTGACCAAGTTTCCAGAGACCTAAACAAGCAAACAAGCTTTCAGGGGATTATCACCGGTGAAGCCAGACCAGTTTTTGAGTCAATTAGTCAAATGATATGAGTTTGTTGGTCCACAGGCCTGAGAATCCGCCTGTTCAACTTCTCACTGAAGATCCTCACCTGTGCCCTCTACATACTGAGAGTCAGCCTGGATAACCCCCAGGTGGTCAACAGCAACACATGGTGAGTCACACTCAGCAGTTGCTACCCCACTCATCAATTACTCTATTCCAGATAGTTGCTTTTTTTTACATGATTTATTGCAGTCTTTTGTTTAGTATTTTGGCAACATCTTTGATGTTAAGTAATGGCAATGTGACTTCTTTTGTTTCAGAAGAAGATGTTACTGTCCAGAAACTTTTTTTGCTGTCTTCTGATCAATTCTAATGCCATCTATCATTTTCTCTTTCTACTGATTCCAAACAGACCAGATGATTTGCTTTAGGCCAGAGGAATATTTTCCCATTGCCATGTGCAAAGAGCAACAAATATGAAAGCTATCATAAGAGGAGAGAGCAATAATTAAAAGGAAACTGATGATTTTTGATTTCTTTGACTGTGTCTAATCTTTTTTCAAATTGAGAATTACTCCTTAAACTAGACTTAAAATGTACACCCAACATATGAGTCAAGACATTTTGTGCTTTTGATAACATTAAGATTGTCTGAGGATGAGGTTTTCTTTTATTTATTTTGAGGTAATTAAGTGTTTTTATTCATTTTGTGTTTTTTTTGTGTGTGTCTAAAATACATACACAAGTGTCTGCCGGTGCAGTCATGTGGGAGCTGTCTGTATTGTGCTTACTGCCAGCAGCTTTTAGAGGCACGTCGGGTTTGTTCTTTATGGCAAAATACCAGCTGATGGAAATGTTTCTCAGTGGGTATGTTTCCACTCATGCACACACATTTGCACACACCTTCACGCTCTTTTTTTGTTTCCCGTGTTACTGTTTTCCCCACAGTGCAACATGTCGGAACAACAGTGGGACAAATACAACAGAGTCAGCAGAAATCAACTGGTATGTTTCAATCAAAATGGCACTTAATTGCGAACTGAGTCGTGTTCATTTTTCTGTGTTGCAATTATACTGTGATGCAGTAAAGGAAAACTTTCTCATGGTTTTTGACAGGGAGTTGATTTTCTGGGTTAACAGACCAGTTCCTTTATGGGCGATACAGGTGAGAGTAATAACATTGCAGTGAAAAGTGCACATAAATCTAATTCCACTGCATGAACTGAATCTCAATGCACAATTCAACCCAAACACACTAGCATCCATTTATTAGATAAAAGCATTTCCGAGAACAGTAGTTCTTCAGTGAAGGTTGAGCAGCCAGAAGAGATGAGTTTGCAGTTGCCAGGTTAATTTATCTCCCTTTCTCCCTCCGCTCCAGGTGACAGTGGCCTTAATCAGTTTTTTGGAGACCATGCTTATCACATATCTCAGCTACAAGGTAAGAGACTGGTCCACAGTGCACAGTTTCTCTATTTAATCCATGCTGATGTCTAACAGCTGTCTGATCAAAGTCCAGCACCGCCCATTTGTTCTCTCTTGTGGGCCAACAGCTTTCAGTGTCTAGTCCAAGTGGCAGTGCCAAAGCACTTATCAAAGGAAACGGGGGCCTTTGACACTAATTTTAGACTCAGACATCACACAATGTGCCCCTAAATAAGTTGCATATACATGTTGCATGGCTGTCTGATTTTGTTTCTTCTATAAGAGCTGTCTAAAGTTCTTAGCTCATATGCACTTAAAGGGAGGATTATGTAAGTAGTGAGATACCAGCTTTATGTATTCTATGAAAATTACTCAAGTAGAGAGGGTCAGCCTTTGTTTGAGCTTCCTGCACTGCTAATGAGAAAGGATAAGCAGAGGGATTTTATATATACAGTATGTAAAAGAGATGGGCAACATATTAAAAAACCTTACAATGTAATGCATTCCAGGCGTTTCTGTTTTCTGAATACTTGCTTTATTTAGAAATTAAAGAAAAGCTCACCCTGTTTTATATGAAATACAATAAGGCAGTAATATGCAGAAGACAACTGTCGTTTTTACACCACCCACAGCTTTTAAAGATCAATGCTGGATCTTGCAGGGGTCCAGGGTCCTTGAAGTACTACTAGTCTCAAAAGAAGCTTGTTTGGAATTATTAGTTTTAGCTTGAATAATTCCTGTCCCTTAGACATTTCACTCTGTAAATTCCAGCTCTTTCCCCTGTAGCGATCCTCTAAAGTTTGTTCTTTGTTGATCCTTTTATGTCTTGCCATATCTTTTTTTTTTCTTTCTTTTCTTTGAATGTGTTTAGGGACTACAACATTTATTGAGAGGAGGAGCAAGTGCCCACATTTTATTACATTCTGTTTCTGGTGACTCTAATCTCGTAAAATGTTACTCTGTTTTCTTTATTAAGCTTTTTAATAGTTCCATCATAGATAGAATCCACCAACAAACTGCACCTTGTAAACTCTGCTGCAATGTGCAAATAATAGTCTACTCTGTGATTGTGCAAACATACTTTTACTGCATGTATATACTGTATCATCTGGCCTTGAGGAGATACAGTCTAATACAGTAGCTTAGTTTTCCTTCATTCAAGGCCTTGTTGAATACATAATTCACCATGTTATATTGCAATTAAACTTCAACTTAATTTACAAAACACATTTCTTGTGCAGGAGCAAAGAATGCAATTTACAGTAGTTTACAAAGTTTAGGATGTCATAACATCTGGAAGAACATAGTTGTGATGAAGAGAGATTGTGAGAAATACCAAAGAAAGAAGCATTTTTAAATTGATTTAATTCATTCATTCATTTAAGTGTGACAAGGTCTTACAACTCACAGTACACAAAACTGCTGTTTGGTTTCCTCTTACTCAGTAATGTTTTCTTGTTACAGCTGATGTCCTTCAGTGCACATTATTACTAGAATTACACTTTTCTCTAAAAGCATCCACGCTCTCACTGCAATAATTTCCTTTGTAGGGGAACATTTGGGAGCAGATATTCCAGATATCCTTTATATTGGAGATGATCAACACAGTGCCATTTATAATCACAGTGAGTAATTAACTTAATCAACTGATCAGTTTTTTTCTCTGTATTGAGGATAATGATTTCATGCCTCAGGTATGTTAACTGTTTAGTATTTGACTGATATGCTTCACCCTTTCTCTCTTCCGTCTTTCTTTCCTTTCTTAAGATCTTCTGGGATCCATTGAGAAACATATTTGTCCCTGTATTTCTTAACTGCTGGCTAGCCAAAGGTGCCCTGGAGAACATGATTGTAAGTATTTTTAATAATGTATTTATTGTACTGCACTAGCTGTATTGCATAAAAGAGCGCACACAAACAAACAAACGTGTGTTCACATGTTTGGTTGTTTTTTACCACTGAGGGCTGTGAAGATACATTATTCATCCTGGGGCAGCCATATTGGAGGTCCTCAGTTTATGAGCAACACTGACAATGAGGCCAGAGTGGCTTTATATTTAGTCTGAACAGAATTCAATTGAGCCGACCTATTTATTTATTTCTGGTTAACTGACGCCGTGTTTTTGCAAATACATCTGATTTGTGCACTAGCTAATGTATCTTTGTGAAGCTAGTGTTATTAGCTACATTAGTTTGTTGAACAGCACTAACGCTGGTTACTTTGATAAAGAAGCCTGCTGGCTAATTTGTTGAATGCCAAAGCTAACAGCAAGCACTTGACTTTTGCTTGGGAAAAAGATAGCAGGGGCTAAATTTTTTGTATTTTAATTGCCTAAGAATTAAATTAATCCAACTCTGGCAAGACTCAGACTTGTATAGATGGTTACAGAGAAAATAGCTATTACTTGCACTCATTCTGATTGTCATTATTGCACTAGCTGCTGCTGGTTAATGATGCAACTGCAAACGGAAATTGATAAATTACATTTATGTGGGAAATGCAGCAAGGCAAGCCAAAGCAAAAAAAAAGAGGCAAGAGCAGACAAAACCAAACAGGAAGAAAGCACAGCAGTGCAAAAAAGAAAGGATAAAAACGCTGCAGGACAGCATTCTGGTGTTGTAGTATCAATATTGTCCAGGATTTGCCATAGGTGCAAAATGAGTGGAACATGGAATTGAAAGCAATTAGATGACATCCAGCTGGTGTAGTGTGTGTGCTCGAGCTGTGATTCAGAGAAGACCATGACAGAGTCAGAGCCTCATGCCAAGGCGGTAGTTGGGCAGATGGTAGAATCTGAGGCCAGGCAGACCAGCACATGGAGAGAAATCAGTGACAGTTCGGAGAGGCGGTGAAGAGAGTCGGTGGCAGGCAGAACATGCTAACAAGGTGCTAATGAAAATGAGTCGTGAGCTCCTACATTTCAAGACTGTATGCTAATGTAGGAGAAAGTACTGTACAATATTATACTAAACTTTTCCACTAAACAGTGGAATGGACATAGGGTTGATTTGTATCCAGACCATCCTTGTTTTCTCCACAAATATATGTACTTAGAAAAAACCTATACAGGTAAATGAAAAGTTAATACATATAAAGACAGTAACTGACATTTTCTTAGCATTGTTTCATATATGAGAACTACATATGTTGTATTTAGTAATTCAGGCAAATAGATCCATCGCATGCCTGTCACTAATAATCTCTTTCCCTGTGTTCAGAATGACTTCCATCGAGCCATCCAGAGGACCCACTCTGCCATGTTCAACCAGGTGTTCATCCTCATCTGCACCTTACTGTGTCTGGTTTTCACGGGGTGAGAGAACCTCTGTTCTTGTCACACATGCATGTTTGGCCATTAAGGCTGTCATGCCTCTTTACTGAGCCTCGTTGCAAAATCTGTTTCCTGAACTGTGTACCTCACAACCCAGAAAAAAACACAGTTGGTAATGTGCATGTCTTGGACAAGGCGGATTATTTGGAATTAAGTAATTCAAACATTTCTTGTAAGTAGACGCAATGAGCTGTGGGGCCAAAGGTGCACAAAGGTGTGCAAGTTCAGTTTTGGCTGAAAGAGAGAGAAGCAACAAAATGTAAGAGTAGGAGTGAGCTAATATTATGAAGCCAGTTAGCTGCTGAAGCAGGGAACATTAACATGCAAAAGCACTTGGTGGATATCAGATCACATGCACCTGCTAAAATGCAGGCAATATGTGAAAACATGTTAAAATAACCATTCTTATTCACCCATTTCCTCTTGTCTCATTAATTTCCTCTTTTATAACACCAGTGCATTTTAATCAAAGCTGTCACTTTTTAAACACAAACTCTTTGGAAGCCTTTGTGTGCCTTGGCCACGACCCAGCACCAACCTCCTTCACTCCACTCTGTCCAGTCAGACATTTCTTCATTCCCTTCTGCCTCGGAGCTTTATTAAATCTCCAACTTACCAATAAAAAACTCAAATGAATTAGCACAAGCAGTGAGGTGGAACAGACAGAACAATCAATAGTGTCACTTTTAATGATATACTGAGCAGGACCCTAAGCTGTATTGACTCTAAGGCCCTTTGATCTTTGGCAAATTGTATTTGATATCCAATCCCACCAGGCTAACACATAATACTGAAGCATCACCCTAGCAAATTATCTCTTCACATGTTCACATTTTAATTATCTTTACTCGTAGGAGAAGTGTGATGTAACACCATCAAGTCATCGTAGAATTCTTTTTGCAGAGCTTGTGGGATCCAGCATCTAGAGAGAGCCGGGAAGCACCTGTCCCTGTTCGACTCGTTCTATTTCTGCATCGTCACCTTCTCCACTGTGGGCTATGGCGACGTTACGCCACAAATCTGGCCCTCCAAGCTGCTGGTAGTCATTCTCATCTGTGTCGCCCTGGTAGTGCTTCCATTGCAGGTAATGACTACAGAGTAAACAAGTGTGTTTTTTGTGCAATGAGGCGTTGCACGCTTTACACCTTGCACAAGCTCTTGCCTTATTATTAGGAATTCTTTCATGTGCTGGCCTCCATGGGGTTATCATTAAATATTAAATTACATTTTCTTGCAGCTATCGCAGGCCCGACAGCAAGTACAAGTTTAATATGGTGCTTAATTCCCTGACATACTTAGCTGCAGAAGAAGCTTGCAAATCGCACTCAAAATTCAGGCCAAGTCATGCTGGCTCACAATTGCTGCATGATAAATCCACCTATTCACAAACATGTTTATCACTACAATTGTTCTGATGTGTTACTGTCCTTGCAGAGCAAATTGGGTGAGAAATAGATGAACTCCTGCTGCTTGCAAACTAGTGCATCAGCAGTTTTCACTCCAGTGCTTTCACCGTCTGTATTCAGACAGAAAATCTATCTCTCTTCCATTATTTATTTAATTCTTGTTGCATTTGACATCAACGCCGATGTTGTTGTCATTGTCAGTTTGAAGAACTAGCCTACCTGTGGATGGAGAGCCAGAAGTTAGGAGGAAACTACAGCCGCCACCGGGCGCAGACAGAGAAGCATGTGGTGTTGTGTGTCAGCTCACTGAAGATTGACCTGCTGATGGATTTCCTCAACGAGTTCTACGCTCATCCCAGACTACAGGTACCAAAGCAAAACACTGCGTTTTTTATGTTTATCACAAAGTCAAGTATGTAGTTAGTATAAATACCCCACTGTTAACTACATGCTTTGAATGTCTGCTGTCATTTTTACTGCTTTTTGTCAGCTGGATGACAATAAGTCTACATGTGTTTCAGTGTTCACATTTTGTTCCAATTTATAACATTTAAGAGAGTATTTTGTGCAGTATTCCTGTGGAATAAATGTAGAATATGCAGCATAGATGCATGAAGGGGATTTTTTAAAGCTAATTTTATACATACATGTAACTGTATACTGTACCCACTTGTTATGTAAAACCCATAGAATGATTTAGATAAAAGCATTCATATCCCTTGTTGTTTTACAGGACTACTATGTGGTGATCCTGTGTCCAACTGAAATAGACATTCAGGTTCGCCGTATACTCCAAATCCCACTGTGGTCCCAGAGGGTCATCTATCTTCAAGGATCTGCCCTCAAAGACCAAGACCTGATGAGGGCCAAGTGAGTGAAAGCATGGCAGGCATTCGTTGGTTAATGTAGCCTGATTCTAGACCTCTGCATTGCTGCCCACATTTGTACATTTTAATGAACGAAATGAAACTAAATGGCAATTAAATCTGATTATCAGGCTTGTGCTAATGTCTGAGTGTTAATATTTGAGTCTCAGTGTAGCACATAATTTATATTTTATTCATTTTACAAAGTGGATAAGGATCTAGACATTATTTGAAATGTAACTGTAAAGTTGAAGTCCTCCACTGGCAAATCAGAGTCCTTGATACTTACAAGTCCCCTTGGCTGCCCTCCGCTTGCACATCAGTGTAATGCGATTTCACTCTATAGTACATTGATCATCTACTCGCATCAAAGGCCACATGCATAGGCAGCAGTATAAACTGTGATGTATCCCATTGGAATGTGTTAATTTTGTCTCTGTTCCTACAAAATATATCCGCTCTGGTGTTGTCATTCATGGTCAAACTGCCTTGGGGGGATCTTGCTGCTTTTTATTGCTTGCCGTGTTATGATGTGATACCAGCGAAATGGAGTCTAACTACTTCTCAGTAGCACATGATGTGTGAAATCAAAGTCATACATTTGTTCAGGAGCCCATCCCCTTTTTTTCCAAATGCTCCTCTTTAGTGTGCAAAGTTGTGCAGGTAGATGCTGTGACAATTTCACACACTAATATGTAATGGATAAAATCACCCAGCCAGGTAAGCCTTTTGCTTCTCTCTTTCAGCCCTGCTATGCTGAAAGATTTTCTTTCATATTGTAGCTGTCTTCACGTTCACAGAGTTTTCTGTCACGAGTGAACGATCTCTGCCCCTGATGTGGCACTCGCAATGTCAAACAACAGCAGATTATTTTCATGCTAGAATGCAGCTTTTAACATTTTCAGCCATTGTCACAGGACATTACCACTCGTCCATGCCAACCTTTCTTTAAAGCATTGATCTCCTTTAAATAATTTTACGTTTGGTTGAATGTCCTATTTGCAGTCATCACCCTGTGAACCTACTTTTCTGTGTTTCTTTCCTTCTCCTCAGGATGGACGACGCTGAGGCCTGCTTCATCCTCAGCAGCCGGAACGAGGTCGACCGCACCGCTGCTGTGAGTCACATCAAAGGGCATTTGACGAAGCATTGTAAAAAATTCTGTTTCATTTCCAGTATAAACACTTAACAATAAGAATAATTTTAGTGGGGCAATTCCCCCTTCACAGTCTACTTCCTTTATAAATTAGCAGGGAGAGTCTGAGGTATTTAAATGATATCATGATTCAGTTGGAACAGCCTGTATTGAGAGCACTTTGAGTCGCTGAGGCCAACTTTATGGTCCATAAAATTCAGATTGCATTTACAAATGAGTAAAATAGAACAATTTCTCCTCCCACAGGATCACCAGACTATTTTGAGGGCTTGGGCTGCGAAAGACTTCGCTCCAAATTGCCCTCTCTACGTCCAGATTCTCAAACCAGAAAATAAATTCCATGTTAAGTTTGCAGGTAAATGCGGGAAGACTACCCATCTACAGTTAGTTTGTTTTCTTACACATGTACTTCTACGTCTAACATCCTGTGTTATTGCAATCTACCCATTTCAATCAGATCATGTAGTATGTGAAGAGGAGTTTAAATATGCCATGTTGGCGCTGAACTGTGTTTGTCCAGCCACGTCTACCTTAGTCACACTCCTGGTTCACACCTCCAGAGGACAGTGAGTACAGTCTACTATTTTACTATAATTAACATTAGCATTTATGGATTTACAGTGATTTCCACTGTCAGTATGTCCTTTTATCATTGTGTGTGATTTTGTCATTATGGTCCTCAATTAGAGAAGCATATTTCCCAAAGTGTCAAACTCTTCTTTTAAGGTTTTTTAGGCTGCTAATCAGTTACCAGTCAAACCCAATTGGAGTTTACAGTGTTCTTAAAATGTCAGCTAAGCTATGTAGTGATCTTATATATCTTCGGTTGGCCTAATACGTATTTAAACAGTAGCAAGAGAGCTTGACATCATCCTTTTCTTTTAACTTTCTCCTTCTCCATCTCAGTGATTATTATCAATTATTATCTAAAATCAATGTTGTTGTCTGGTTCAGTTGAGATTTAACTGAACCAGTGACATTGTGTTTCCAGAACAGCTCAACCTCCAAGAACTATTTTTATTAAGTCAGCTTTCAGTGTTCTTAACTTTGAGTGCTCTGCTAATGTTAAATATCCCTTTTTCTCATTATTCATGTGGACAGATTCAATCCCATCTGATTAATATTAGAGAAAGATGACCGCCGCAGAGTTTTTACAGTTACACAGACTTTACCTGGTTTTTGTCTGCAGAGCCTGACTACTGTACTACTGCAGAAACTTGTCACTGTCAAGTCAGTAAACATTACCCAGCTTCTTGTTAGGCAATAAATCTCGCTGTGTTTCATACTTTGTGCAAGGTGACCACCATATATATCCTAACTGCTGTCCACAGCCGAGACACAGCACATCCATTTTAATATCCATTATGGGAACTTGTACTGGCCTGGGGCTGTGAAGGTGACAGGAATGGGAATATATTTCTTCGTGGAAGGTGTTAATTTAAACATCGTCACATTGATTAAAAGTGATGAGAAGTACATGAACTGCTTAAATAAAGTGACCTCATAGCTTTTTCTCGTTTGTTTATAATCTTGTGACCAGAATTTAGATAGCTGAGGAATATAGGGTCGTGAAAGGTCAAGGTTGTCAGTCTGGGGGAAAATGGCGGCCGTTCAGTTGCAAATAAAGTCAAATTATATTTCAAGTTGTATTCTTCTATGAATTGAAATGACTCATGGCAACCTAGATATACTCTGACCCTAACCTTTTCATTCAACCAAACATTGGAAACTGATATTTGCCCGCAGTGCAACAGTCCATTGTAGATGTCTGAAATGTCACATTACTGGAATTTAAAGTATATATTCTGACAATACTGTTTCAGAGAGGGTCAGTTGTCACCAGAGCAGTGGCAGAGGACATATGGACGCTGCTCTGGAAACGAGGTCTACCACATCCGCTTGTGTGACAGCAAGTTTTTTGGGGAGTATGACGGAAAGAGCTTCACCTATGCCTCCTTCCACGCCCATAAGAAGTTAGTACATCTTCAACTAGCTCAATCTTGACACACTATGTTTTATCTCATTAGAGCAATTGTTAATGTCTCTTGGAGCTAAACATTTGCAGCTGAGACCCATTTTGAACTTTGTAGGTATGGTGTGTGTTTGATCGGAGTGAAGAGGGAGGACAACAAGAGCATCCTCCTGAACCCCGGCCCCCGCCACATCATGGCCGCCCCTGACACCTGCTACTACATCAACATCACCAAGGAGGAGAACTCGGCCTTCATCTTCAAACAGGAAGAGAAGCACAACAAGGGCCTGCCCGTCACTGGCCTTTACGACGCCCCCTCTAGGCTGCCCGTGCACAGCATCATCGCCAGCATGGGTGAGACTTGAGAGCCAGAGGCAGAAAAAAAAAGATTGTTTGGAAGTTGGTAAAGAAAGGATGAGTGTAAAGATTAAAGTCCAGACAGCCTCACAAAGGTTGTTTGGCTGAAAGGGTTTCCATGTAAGAAGAGAAAATGGATGCTTTGATATTTATTTACTCTAAATTGCTCTCATACTGATCATTTCTGAATGGTGGCTGCCTTGGTGATGCTGGATGCTTTCGCTGACTGTTATGCATGTTTTTTTTCTTACATGCCTTTTTACTTTCTTGGCTGACATTATTGTGTTGTGCTTTTTCTTTGACCTGTGAAAGTTGATCAGGCCACTGCATATGGTAAGTTTGTGCATGATACACTTATTTACTAGTCCTGTAATTTCAGTACAATTTTTACAAATGATAGTATGATATATAGTACAACACACAGTGATATTGTATTATAAAACTAATGCTTGTATAATTCTTTTGTGATTTAAAAAAAAAAATTATAATAATTTCTGTTTCAGCAACTGCAGATTAATTTTGCTTAAAAGATGATATATGTATTGTACATACAGTATATCATGTTTCTGATACGTCTGATATATGTATTGTGCATATATCACATACATCATATTACATACGGCTAATATGATGTATGTTAGGGACATATTTATTGACAAACACACAGTGTCAATACTGTTTGCATGTTTGTTGTAGCTCGAGAAAGCCATACATTTTCTCCCCAAGGTCAAACTAAGCTGAACTAAAGAAGGTGGTAGGACTGTTGGTGGCTCAGATGCTGAACAAGCTAAACATGGACCTTATTACTGTACGTCCAGTATGAAAAAGCATTCTCCAGTGTTTCCTGAGATAATGGCATTTTTGCTCAAACATGCATTGTTGACTTGACAACACATTACAGTAAAAGTGCTGCGCATGCTATTTCTAAATAGCCACATAGTTTGCTGCTCAAACAGTAAACTTATGTAATTTCCAGGTACTGTAGCGATAGATCTCCAAAACCCTGATCCTCCCGAAGAAAGCAGCAAACTGACCTTGCCGACAGAGAACGGCGCGGGAAGCCGCAGGCCAAGCATCGCGCCTGTCCTAGAGATTGCCGACTCCTCCGCCATTCTGCCCTGCGACCTCCTCAGCGACCAATCAGAGGATGAGACCAACCAATCGGATGAGGAGGGCTCTGTAGGATCAGAGTAAGTGGCTCAGTTGTGGTTAAAACGTGAGAGAAAAGGACCTTAATTCACACGAATAGATTTAGTGGTTTTGTAGTGTGCAGTATGTCTTGTCTTGCGGCAGTAAAAAAGTGAAATGTCCTCACATTGTGGGCGTCCAGTGCTCTATACTTGATTGATCTCACTTGTCCTCCTCTGCTTCATGTGTCAGTGGTTGTAGGAGGAGACGGATGGGTTTGGAATAGCCGTGTAATCTGTATGTCATAATGCAGTAAGACGCGGACATGGCAGTGATAGATGTGTATGTCCTGACAGGAAGGTCAGCACTTTTCCTCTTGAGTGAAGCTCATGTCGTGTGTCCTTACCTCGATCCTCTCCCCTCAAGACCATCTATCAGTTGTCCAGACAGATAGTTGCCATGATAGCAGCTCAGCACGTCAGAGGAATCAGTTTATCTCAGCATCTTTGTTCTTCTCCTTTCTCTGTCTGTATGTGGTTTTATTAGAGATAAGTTTATGATAGATTGGCTACTTTTGCCTCACAGTCTGTATCTCAGCACCACACAAGTCTTTTTGAACATCAACTGTGAGACCCAGACATCAGTGGCTCTCATAAAGTTGGCCATAACATGGGTCCTCCTAACCTCTGAGCCTTTATTACTGCGCCCCATGACACTTGGGTAATTTTTCTTCTTTAACAGTTGTCGGGGCACAGTGGTCAGGGAGATAGACACACAGAGTAGCTCAAGGTCCCACAGTGCCATCATGTGGTGATCAGGTTGTAAATGCATCTAAACAAAATCAGAATATTTTTTTGGGGCAAACTAGAGGGCACCAAGAAACGGATTAGGGTAATTGCAGCTGACACATTACAAATCAGAGGGCACAGAACCAAATTGACAAAATGAAAACAGGCTATGAAAACGTTGTAATTATTCATGTAGCTGGTATTGAACAGGATTGAGTCTTTCAGGCTAATAAACATCAGTAATTTGAGCAGCTGCAGAATATAACAATGCATTGAAAAGTAGAAACATTTTGGCAGTCATTCATGGTGATGATGACAACATGAGGATTACATAATGATGAGAATAAATGACTCCCGTAGACCGTGATACTCCCATAACTCTTTGCGACACTGTTTTTGTGTGCTGGTTCCTTCACAGAAAATATGAAAAGAAAACAGGTTTAACAGTTTAATACTTTTTTAACAACTGTGAAGAGGAAGTAAATCTCCATGTTCAGAGATGGACAGCATTACTGGTAGATATCTGATAATTAATAAAAAACAATGTTGCATAATATGTCCCTCAAGGTTTTTACTCCAAACACAAGTGTAATGGCATTTTTTGTTGTTTCTTTTCCATCAGTTTTGTGAAGGGCTACCCTCCAAACTCACCGTACATTGGCAGCTCTCCAACTCTGTGCCATCTCCTACCACAGAAAGCTCCATTCTGCTGCCTTCGCCTCGACAAGGTGAGTTCACATGCAAGAAAAGACTGAAACAGCACAGAACTAAACCACAAAAAACACTGTTAAACATGCACCATGTTTTTTTTTTTGCTATCTTTTTTTATATTAAGATAAAAAACAACTGTTATGTGATGCATCTCCTAAGTATACAGTACAACTAAAACCTGACTGACTTCCTGTCTCCATCCAGGGCTGTACACATAGCAGTTTTGAGGATGCCAAGGCATACGGCTTCAAGAATAAGCTGATTATAGTGTCCGCAGAGACAGCGGGAAATGGTCTGTACAACTTCATTGTCCCTCTCCGTGCTTACTATCGACCCAGGAAGGAGCTCAACCCCATAGTGCTGCTGCTGGACAACCCGTAAGATTTACCACTGTTTGTTTATTTTTACTACTACAGTGATGTAAAACTACTTTAAAACCTAAAAAATAAAAGAGTAATGTCTTTTTTATATAGAGGCCTTAAGTACATGTCTGCCTACACCCAGAATTATGTTCATACAATATTACACTATAAAGATGTGATAATATGATAAATCGCTACCTGGTTACCATAGGCGTTGGCATAGCAACTAATAAATCTTTTATCTGGACTTCCTTTGTTGCTATGGATGTCAACACTGCTGTACATTAATGTTGGTAAAGGTTTAGTAGTTTTTTACAGTTATCTGTTAGTTATTTATTTATTTCAATAATTTCAGAGTTGCCAAAGATACAAATCACCTGGTACTTTAATATCAGCACATTTTCCGAGAGCAGTAACTTAATTATAGCTCGAAGTATATGTGGTGACCTCAAGGTATAGAAGAATAATAGTTTTACATTGTTAATAAAAAGCAGAAAATCAAATTCAAGTTCAAAAGATGTAAAGAAATAGATGTGTTTACCCGTTTGTGTGTATATTTGCATTCGTTTGTGGGTGCATGTGAGCTTGAAATAGATTTAAAAAATCCACCAGTGCTTTATATGTTTGCAATTTGAAATAGCCAAATTGCTTTCAGTATAGACTTGATAATGACTGCTGGAGCTGCGGGTTAGTTTTGCTTCAGTATAAAGAGGAAAAAAATAATTTTCCATTATTCATAAACAACACTTGTAGGCAAAAGAAAGCCTATTTGTGTGTAAGGGTATGTATACATTTGTGTGTGTGTGTGTGTGTGTGTGTGTGTTGCAGTGATCCACACATTTGTCTGCTCTAACTCACTGGGGGTTTCATTAACTTTGGCCAAATCTCTGCAGTTGCTGAAACAGAAACTACACAGGCAGACAGCCAAAAAAAAAACACTCACTGTCTAACCACTGGGGGGGGTTTCCATAGCAACCAGTTAATTCCTCCCATTGCATTGAGGAATTAAATATCTACTTTCTCTTTGGTTGCTGAGTTCAAACTGTGTCTCCCCAGTCCCAGCAAGCACATTTCAGGAAGCTACAACAACAATGTCATACTGGGGTTTTACAAAGATAATTAGTCTGGGATGCTCATGCATGATGTTCCTTGTTTCCCGCAGGCCAGACAACCACTTCTTAGAGGCCATTTGCTGCTTTCCAATGGTTTACTTCATGGCTGGCACTATCGATAAGTATGCCTTTGGATTATTAAAAACCTGCTCATTTGATTAACTCATTTAATGATCTTGTTTATCTCAGTGGTAGTTTTATCAATTTTTAATACAGCTACCAACAATACAACATCACATGTATCATGAATAAAACACAATGTAATCCTTTGTGGGTGATGGCAATTTCAGGGTCCGATAAAGGAAACATTTACCATGAAACACTATTAAAACAATACATTATAGGCTGTATTATGGTCAGTCTCTAATAATACAAAAGGCTTCTTTCTCAACCAAGGTTTGCAGTTATGTTCAAAAATCATACAGCATGAAAGCCACTGCCAACCACAGAGACCAATTTCCACAGATTGTTTTGATTGAATGTAATGAGTGCACACCTGGATTAGGTTGCACCAGCTGTTCCAAAATCCATCACTGAATGTGTGTCCTTCCTAAAGCGCACCTTCAAATCTTAAGAGAGCTTACTTATTGAAGACTTAATGTGCTGTGTAATTTGGTTGCAAGGAAAAATTGGTTGTGCTGTCCCATCAAAAGCAATTGTCTATGTAAACAGGAAGTTGCTGTAACATACTGTATATAACTGTCAAAGAATAAGGGGGGAAATTATGTAATGTCAAATGTTGGTATGATCTTTTTAGAGTTAGTAGTATTAATGTAATCTAAAATGAATGGAAATTCAGAGCAGTTTTAGGAAATGTTGGAAATCGCAAAAGTATGAAATATATAAAGTACGAATATATGATCCGGTTTTGTGGGACGTATGTACACTAAAATGATTGATGGAATGCATTGGAAATTACAGATTGATGTACGATTGTTTTGATATTTCCTGACATGTCATGTAATAGTAAGTAATAAACTCTGTTGTTTTGTGAATGAACCAGCTTGGACAACCTGCTACAGTGTGGTATAATCTACGCCGACAACTTGGTGGTTGTGGACAAGGAGAGCACCATGAGCGCTGAGGAGGACTACATGGCAGACGCCAAGACCATCGTCAACGTCCAGACTATGTTCAGGTGACACATAGAGAGTATTTCATTGTGTAGAAACATGCAGTAAATAGTTGGTACTGTCAAGGGTTGTTTATGTATGAGCTGGACTTGGAACAGTGCATCAGACTCCACTTGATTAACTTCTTCATCTGTTCTCAGTCAGATGCTGGAGAGTAAAGTTGTTTTTCTGAGAATGGTGGTTGAGTTCATCTCAAAGATGAACTCCAGTTGCCAAAGCTCTGACTACCACCATTCTTTTATTTAACAACCAAAATTAAAAGCATTCATCACTGCCACACTGAGTCGCGCAAAGCATTTCATCTCTCTAACATCGGTCTCTGTTTACCCCCGCCCCCGCTCAGGTTGTTCCCCAGCCTCAGCATCATCACTGAGCTCACACACCCGTCCAACATGAGGTTCATGCAGTTCAGAGCCAAGGACTGCTACTCACTTGCACTTTCCAAACTAGAAAAGGTGAGCTGTTGAGAAGGGAGAACCATGTCAAGACTCCCTGACTTTGACTTTGATGTTGTCTGCTTGTCTGTCTTAAGTAACTGAAACTGCGTGATCCGTCCATCATTTACGAAGACAGATCATAGCTCAGTTATTGAACGTAATCTGCAATATTGTAATGTTTAAAATGAAGCTAATATTTGCGCAAAACATCCAAATACTTTTGATTTGTCTTCATCGGTTGCTCTTGTGGTCTGTGGGTGGGGATGGAGGAAATACAGGTTTATTCTTACTCTAACACATAAGTCTCATTGCAATGTTGATCATTATGTTTCATGTATTTAGTGTTAAACCTACTAGCTTTTACCTTTCAAATTGAAAGTCTTTTCAGTGGTGAAAACCAGTAGGGCCTTCCATTTTCAGTCTTCTTGGATAAGGAGCAAAAGAGCAATAGTTCAGCAAGCATACAGGAGAAAGTGAGGTTTTAATATCTGGTTGCTCTGTTCCTCAGATCTTTTTTTTGTGATTCTCTCTGCAGATAGAGCGTGATAAGGGCTCCAACTTGGCCTTCATGTTCCGGCTGCCGTTTGCTGCAGGCAGGGTGTTCAGTATCAGCATGTTGGATACACTGCTTTACCAGGTGGGGTAGCAAAGAACATGTCATAGATATATCAAGATTAATACAGCTATACGTCATGCATCAAGTGATAATTTCATCAATCTACTTCAAAGAAAGTTATGGAATAAACTGAAAGGTTATTCGATTGCAACTAAGTCAGTATTTTCTAGTAATGTTCAGTATCTTTAAATTGGATTGGAAGTTTCATGTCAGTAAAAGCAGTTGTTTTTCCTAGAAGTGAAACATAGATGAAAAAACATTAACACTCACTGCAACATTATAAGTTTCTACAGACCCATTAACTGGTAAAAGAGAAAAATCTTCAAAATAGGTAGAAAGAAATTGGGGGTTGTCACAAAGTTATTCCTAACCTACAATCAACAATGCAGATTTATGTAATGAAGCAGTGTGGGAACATCTGATTGTTTTTTAAATAAGATTGATCTGCCCAATATCTTGGGCAGTGCATTTATATAACTGTCTAACCCTAATTACTAGAGAAGTTTAAAATGTGCACATCTCAGTATATTTGTTCATTTTACAACCTGTTTATCCATCACAGTATACAGATATCTTCATATGTCTATAACCTGACATACATCACATGTCTGCCACAGCACTACATTATATTTTATTTTATATTATCTTTCATTCCTATATTTTAGCTCTGTGATTCCAATTAGATTTTAGTTACAAAACGGTTTTATACATATTTGTATTGTTTTGACAGTCGTTTGTTAAGGACTATATGATCGCTATTGCGAGGCTTCTTCTTGGTCTGGACACCACGCCTGGCTCTGGATACCTGTGTGCTGTAAGTATGTTCATACCACTAAAAATGATGATGATGAGTGATTTGTCAGTTTCAGTGCCTGACTCTTAGTCTCCCTCCTCAGATGAAGATCACAGAGGAGGACTTGTGGATCAGGACTTACGGCAGACTCTTCCAGAAGCTTTGTTCCTCCAGTGCTGAGATCCCCATAGGGATCTACCGCACAGAGTCGCACATGTTCTCAACCTCAGAGGCAAGTTCACTTTGATCAGATATTTAATATCTGAGACATCTCTTTGGGTTCGTTTCCAGCTTTGGCTTCTGGTTTGGCTTTAACTGAGGCACTACTGCGGCTTTCACTTCCTTCCATTATTCATTCCCTCTTTTTGTGTTTTTGTCATTCCTCCTCTTTCCTCACCTACCTTCTTCAAATTTTCATGATGTCCCTCATTGCTTTGCTTTTTCTTCTGCTTTCATTTCTCTCCTCTTAAAATGTCTTTCCTTTGTCCACCTTTCATCTTCCCATTTTTCATTTTTTTTCAAGATTTGTCTCTATTCTCTCGTCTTCCTTTCATTTTTTTAATCCTATTTACTATATCAAGGTCAGATTTATTTATATAGCACATTTAAAACAATCACATTTGACCAATGTGCCAAATAGGATTAAAATACCAAATTTGCTCAGCACTCTATCTTTCTTGTTCTTTTCATTATTTTTTTGCTCCTTTATACATTTCTCTCCTCTATTTGTTTAATGCCAAGCACGAAAAGGAGAATATTAACCATCTTCCCCTGAGTGTGTTTCCAGTTTGTGATGATTCCCAACAAAAAGTCCCCAATTACTTTTACTGTTTTATTAGCCAGGCTGATTATTAAAATAGAATTCAGGCAAGTTATGTAAAATAAACGTACGATTGCTGGCTCGTGCTAATTTCCCTGCATTTAAACAGTGAATGATAAAATAGTGAATATGCCATATTTACTATTTCATGTGCTGACTTTTGAGGCTTTGGATGATTTTTGGTTTGCTTTGGATGCCCCCATCTTTCATTGCATCTCTTTTTGTTTGGATGTCTGTTTGTCCTTCTCTTGTTTCAGTGTAAGGACAGTTACGTACAGGTAAGATCCAAATGTGCATGTTTTTAATTTGGATATTTCAGTCGGCTGCTGCCTTTTGCTTAAAGATGAAAAATACCTTACTGGCATTTTTCTGTCATTTATAAATATGTATCAGTACATCCATAACCATCACAGCTTGGTGATGCAGCTTTTCTGAAAATAGCACTTAGAAAGGCATTATAGATTTGCTTTTAATGTCACAGACAGGTATTTCTGAAAGAACTTGAACAGAAATAGTGTGCAAACACACAGTATCCAGCGTTAACACTGCCACCCTGCTCTCCCAGTCTCAGGTGTCCATCAATGTCGAGCAGGGCATGGAGCACCGCGAGCGCGGAGAGTCCTGGAAGGAGAAGACGGCCCACAGAAATTCCACAACGAGTGACCAATCGGAGCACCCGCTGCTGAGGAAGAAGAGCATGCAGTGGGCACGGCGGCTGAGCAGGAAGGCCAACAAACCGTCTAGCAGAGCGGAGCGTATCTCGCAGCAGAGACTCAACCTGTACCGGCGGTCCGAGCGTCAGGAGCTGTCAGAGCTGGTCAAGAATCGCATGAAGCACCTGGGTCTGCCCACCGTGGGATACGGTGAGTGACACAGCTGATGATATATAGAGAAGTGAGAGACAGTCCATATATTTGTTATGTTATGTGAAGTAGTTCACAATATATTACTTATTGTATAGCAAGACAAGACCAGACAAGGTTAACAATGATTTAATTTAGGATTTTTATGTTTCATTTAGTTTATAATTAATCATCATTAGTCTTAATTTACCTGAAAATAATAATAATGCAAATTATAATGTTTGTTGCAGATTGGATTCTCACCTCTATAAACATTTCTTTAAGGTCACAACAGCTCTGAAGGCAGAAATAATGTAATTGGTTGAGTTAAACTTCAGTGGGTGGAGCCCGAGAATCTCCAAGAAAAACTAAAATAAAAATCGTGGTGGCTTTTTTTAATTCATGATCACAGTCTTCTTTGACTGGTCAGCGTTACCTGTGTGGCTGTGGGCTTGTATACAGTAGCTAGCTAGAACTTCAGTCTAGCTCAGACTAATCAAACTAACAAATAAACTTAACAATTAAAATCAGGTTCCCAGTTAGACGCAGATCCCATTTATTAGCCTGGCGCAGCTACATGTTTTGACAAATAAACTCAGGTCTCAATTAGACGCCTGGTCTGACTGCTTAGATCGCCTACACAAAATATAGTATGGACATACTACACATCATTAGATCAATTCAGTTGTTGAGTTCTTTTTACGGAAACCTTGATCACCAAATTACAAAGGATCAAATGAATGATTTGTAATACTTATGTTATTTGATAGCTTAATTTAAGTAATGTTCATACCAATTTTAAATTAACAATTTGGTTGTATTTCCCAACTTTGCTGAGCAATAGTTTTGTGCTATAGGAATTAAACGCCTGTTCCATATAGATGCATTTTCCAAATATTTGCAGGTTGAGTTCAGTGATTGAAGCAAATAAACGCCCAGGCTATTAATTGTAGTTTTTACGGATAACATAACTAATTTACAGTTATTAAAACTATTCTGGCTTCATTTCATTTTCTCTTTGAGTCCTCTTAGTTGAAGCCGGAAGTAAAAGCTGAATGAAATCACATAGGGAATGTAGAGTTGAAACTATTTGTTGGTTAATCAATTAGTTGATAGAAAATTAATAAGAAACCATTTTAATTATCAAATTATCATTGAAGTATTTTTTAAGCAGAAAACCAAAAACAAATAACTGCTTCACAAATATGAATACTTGCTTGTTTTTATGTTTTTGTCTTTTGTTAACTGATAAAAGATATGGTTAGGGTTGGGGTTAGCTTAGGCTTTTTTCTGACATTTTATACACCAAACAATTTAATAATGAAGATAATTACAATAATAATAATAATAATAATAATAATAATAAAAAACTGTAACTTAAGCTGTTGACAAAATGAAATAACAGAAAGCGCGAATGCATTAAAATCGAGGATAGATGAAAGCAGGCGATTCTTTTTTCCACCGCTAACCAATGAAATTATTTCCGCCATGACAAAAGCTGCCTTTGAAAAACTCTGTTCCAGTCATTTTATCTCATCTCATTACCTATTAAGACGTGGCGCTGTGGGTCCTAATAGTGCCAACCATTAACATCACACCACATCATCATTAACCTTCAGAAAACCTCAGTTATCACCCATCAAACTCTTCCTCCATGTACCACACGCACACACTCCACTACATAGTCATGATCATACCAACATGTGGATGTGAACACGTCATGCATGGAGATGCAGGAGTGCCAAACCTCAAGGAGATGCAGGAGTGCCAAACCTCAATTGCCTGCATATCTGCTCACTTTTCTACTTTTTGTTCCTTAGTTCTTTCTCTCCTCCCAGCTTCACGCTTCAAAACAAAAGCAGAATCATGCTCCAGATGTGTTGCACTTGCTAAATATTATGTAATGTGTCGATTGAATACGTTTCAGGAAGAACCCCAAAAGCTCAAGATCTTCTTAAGAACCATGAAAGTCAGTGAGGATTACTGCAGCAGGATCATAACATGTGACAGATGAAATATTTGGAAGTGATTCTGTGCACACACTAATGCATGGCTTCTTTGCATTGCTCTCACCTTTTTTTTTTTTTTTTAAAAGTTCTTTTTGAAACTGCAAATGCATTCGCTGCCTGCCTGATTTTTTTCTTTTTTCTTGTTCCCCCCTCCCCTCCTCTGGTCCTCTCCTTTTCTTTCTCTCTCTGACTCTTCTGTCTTCCTTCCCTTTGGCTTGTAGAGGATGTTTCTAATCTCACTGCGAGCGATGTCATGAATCGAGTAAATCTAGGATATTTACAAGGTAAATTGTGTGCCGTTTATAACTCATCTACAACATGTGAGTGGTTACGTTCCATCTTGTAGAGAAAGGAATTTGTCCTTTCACCAGCATCCATTGAAGATTAGTGCACTGAATTTATCCACAGAGCTAGATACATCAATTTTTAGTTTGTTTTTTCCCCACTCTTTGTTTGATCCTTTTTTTTTTTTGGTTAATATAAAATTTGTAGTTAATTATAAATGAACAAATTAGGCCATTAACAGTGAATGCCGTTCCTTAGAGTTGCAGGACATTTCAGAGCACCCGTATACAGAGGGGACCAGGCCGTCAGGTTAGCTGGTTGATCACAGTACTGCAACTTTACTGCATGAATGTGTGTGCGTGTAAGTGTGCGTGTCCTGCCAGAATGAGTGGTAGATCAGCAGCCAATCTCTCACTATCTCGCTCTACTATCTCACTCTATCTATCTGGTCTTTTCTGCATTGTGTTCCCGTGAGGTGACGTCCCAAATGGCTAGAGTCCTGCAGGGCATCAGAGTATGGCTTTAAGAGTGGAGCGGAACGCATTATGTCTGTGGATGGAAGGTTAGATGTAGAGTTAAAGTGTTACACCTTTTTAGATGTATAGAGAATATTGTGTATCAGAGGTGGTGTAAAAATAAAAAAAAAACAACCCAGTGGAGGAAATGTGTTCTTCGCCTCCGCTTCGCCTGTTCTTTCCAAATATCAGGACACCTCAAAGTGTTTTTTGATACTTATACCATGGCCACTTAACCACAGGCAAAAAGAGAAGCAGTGTCATTCATTACATTTGTAGCTTAATGTATGATTTAGTCTGTTTCGCTAGTTAGCCTCAAGCAGTCTGCTATATTAAACCGCCTGCGGTTTAATATATCTTTTGGGCTGATTTAGAGGGGTGTCAGTAAATATAGAAGAACAGAACAACGTTGACGACATATTTACATGTAATTTCAGAGCCAAAGTGCTGACTTTCAGATTGGAAATTATAGATTGAAGGTTTTGCTGACCTCCAGTGGTTTAACTCACTTAGCTGCTATGATAGAACAGTGCACTCTAGGACAGGAATCCCCCACCAGGAGCACTTACACTAGGGTTATGTATTGGCAAGAATCTGGCAA